ATTCATTTTCATTACCTTTATAAAGTCCCAGGCTAATAAAATTGGTTTTGGCATTTTTAAAGAAAGGTCCAAGCCAGATGGAGCCAAATGGCATTCATGAAAAAGAATTTCTTTCCAGAAAATATTTTAGTTTAATGAGACCCAGATAAATAGTAACTGTTATCAAATTACGACTGAACATAATCTTTCCTATTCGATGACACAGGCCACGGTAATAACCACTTAATGTTTTGTCCTGCCTTTGAGAATCACTACTATTTTTGCTAACGCTTAGGCCGAAAATCAGTATCAAGAGATCACCCTACTAAATATGGATTCTTATTTTCACTAATCTTTATTGAGAGCTAGTTCTGCTAGGCATTTTTCAAACATTTCATTTGATCGTCATACAACCGCATGATGTAATCTCAACGATTACAGTTGAGAAAACTCAGATGTACAGAAGTTGATTGCTCTGGGGCTGTTAGCTGGAGAAAATCAGAATTTGGATTCCAGCATCCACATTTCTAACATGACTTCCAAAACTGATTTATGGTCTGAGTCATCCTGTGTTAGCATATGCTAAAGTCATTGCTGAATGTATCTTCTTGTTGCTGAAGGCCTGCTACCTAGCAACGTTCAGATTGCTTTACAATTAATGCTTTGATCTTGCCTTCTGTTTTTGAGAAACGAAACAAAGGGGTTTAACTAACCATCGTGCATCTTTATTACTTATACTTACTGGTAAAAGGTCAAGACAGAAAATCAGGACACTTTAAGAACTGCTAATTATTGCTGTCACTTCTAACATTATGACCAAGAAATGTTAAGTGATAGCCCTTACTTTTGACATCACTGAAGTGAAGCCAATAAATTTTGTACATTGTAAAAGTATCTGAATCTCCTGAGGCTTTTATTGACTGTTAAACTGGCTATAAATTTTTGTGAAAATATTATAGAGTTTATTTTTAATGTCCAGATGTTAACCTTGTTTATAACAGCATTAGATCATGCACAATTACTAAATAAAAAAGTAAAAGTATTTACGAGTTTCACATGGAGTAGCTGCTAAGATTTATGCTCTTTTCTGACAATAGAGCTAATAATGTAAATAATTACCTGTCCAAAATTTAAAAGAAAATAAAAGTTAACAACCACAGTTATAATCATTAGGAAAAGAAAAATGAAAACTTGGAAGATTTTTTAGGGTAGCATCTTGTGCCAAATTTCCAAATTATTTTCCATATCCTTTAAATTATTATAAACCAAATGGTACTTTTAGATTAGATTTCAAAGTTGTCATGGTAGTTATAAGATGACCAGTTTTATAAAGAAAAATTTGTGATTCAAATTTCAGATTAAGGAATCTTAGCACTCCAACACATGTGATATTTTTGGAAAGCTGGTGCAGCCAGATTGTCTTTCATTGAGAAATACAGCAGGGTACAGAAAGTCCTGGTTTCCATATTACATGTCAGAATGCCCCCTACAAACTCGGGCTTACAAGCAAAACAGAGGCTATGTCTTCTCTTCTGTCATAGAATTTAGGTATTACACATTTAGAAACAGCAATACTTCAGTTTCAACAGCTGCCTCTTCTGCCCTCCTGGGTATTTGGAAGTTGTTTTCCTCTCTACGTTTTATTTGAATTTTAATAGAAATCCTGGTAGTGATGCTCTTCAAATTAGGAATTCCTTTACCTAACTATTATATTAATCTGAGAACGAGTACAAACCTTTTTTATATTAACAATGGTAGATTGTTAATAAAGAATACCAGCACCATATACTTTGAAGGGCTATCTAGAAGAGGTCTTGCAGTAGACATGGGACACGCACACATGAGTGTGACCCTGGGAAGATCACTTAACCACTTGTGGGCTCAGTTTCAGCATTTGTAAGCTTGGACTAAACCCTACACCTCATAACATTTTGTCTTAGCGTATTGGTGAAATATCATGTGAAGCTCCAGCACAAAGCCCGACACACAATACTAACTAATTAATATTAGTTACTTCCTTTCTCCAATCTTAAATAGACATTCTTGAGTAATAATAATATGGAAATACCACCAGACAACATTTACTTTAAACCAGTGAGTTTGGGCAATGAGGAAAACTAATCTCAGAGTATGTATGGAGGGCAATTATAGTTTTTCTGATTCTTGGTGGATTGTGTAGAGTAGTTACAATTAGAACACGTGCAACTTAGAAAGACGTTCAGCATTTCATAATTTAACCTACGTTGCAACTCAGGAATATAAATATTGGATGTATTGTTACCCTGTTTTAGAGATTAGAAAATTGCACTTTTCCTTTTTTTTTTGCAATATTTGGGATTGAACCCAGGGCCTCTTGCTTGCTAGTGTAGAATCCCACCACTTGGGCCTTGTCTCTTGCCCTTTTGCTTGTATTTTGTTTTTGAGATAGGGTCTCACTAACTTGGCCTTGGCTAGCCTAGAACTAGAGGTCATCCTGCCTCCTGCCTCCCAAGTAGCTGGGTGTACAAGTATGTGCCACCACGCCTGACAAAAAATGGCACTTTCTAAGGTGCAATAACTTCTCAAAAGTGATGGAACTTGAATTTGAGTGTGTGGGTTCTTCATTTTGCCTAAATTTTGCAACACCATGTCTCAGAAAAATAAATGTTCTCTTTTACAGTGAAATGCTATTAGAGTGGTAGTCTCTATGAGAAAACATGTTACGCTACTAGAAACTTTTTGAGCTAACTCAACAACTTAGGTTTGTCTATAAATCTGGTAAGAATGGAACATTTATTGTTGGAAGATTATTCTTTCTTAAAATAGCCACTCTTGAGGTGAACCTGGCCCAAAAGACCAAAAATCGTATGTTCTCCCTCATATGTGGACTTTAGATCTAGGGCAAATACAGCAATGTTGTAAGACTTGGGTCATATGACAAGGGGAGAACATATACAAGGAGGTACGGGGTTAGATAGAAAACCCAAAACATGAAAGCATTTGATGTCCCCACTCCAGAGGAATTAATACAGAAACCTTAAAGTGACAGAGGTCAGCACGAGAAGGGGATCAGTTAGAGATGAATCAACTTAGGTTGTAACACATTTGTACATGAAAGCAATGCTAGGAATCTCTCTGTATAGCTGTCCTTATCTCAACTAGCGACAACGCTATGTCTTTCTTATTATTGCTTATTTCTACTCTTCAACGGAACTGGAGAAAAGTGCAGAACATTTTCTGCCTGGAAGGGAGGAGGGTGGGCGGAGAGGGTGGAGGCGGGGGGCAGGAGGGAGAAATGACCCAAACAATGTATGCACATGTGACTAAATGAATAATAATTTTTTAAAAAGACCACATATATGATGGCAGTCTCATGAGATCTTAATGGAGCTGAAAATCTCCTATTCCCTAATGAAACACAACACTTAAGTGTTTGTGGTAATGGTGTAAAGAAACCTTCTACACTCATGCAATGATGTACACCATGTAATAACAACAATAAATTATTATATTACTTTAAAAAAAAGAAATGAAAGCTAATGAGCATCTGGATAAAGAAGATAGAGCCAAAGAGGAGTGCTGGTGCAGGGGGAAGATGAGGACTAGGGCACAGTTGGGCTGGAATTGACATTGAGGAGAAAATCAGGAGGTAAGAATTTGTAGGAGAGTAAGATTGAGGATGAGGAGATATCGGGTCCAGTTTTTGGAAAGTTATATTTGATTTACTAGTTTCAGTGGCCTGCAGATTAAATAAAACTGGGCTGAATATATACCAGGATGTAGAAACAAGCATTCACGCATCCTATAGATAATTTAGAATTAAATAATGAACTTTACCTCCCTTTAACATAAAATTAGCCAGGATTTACTACCTAGTCTGATCTTCATCTCTCTCTCTCTCTCTCTCTCTCTCTCTCTCTGTCTCTCACTCACTCTCTCTCTCTCTCAGACACACACACACACACACACACACACACCACCACCACCACCACCACCACCACCGTTTAGTAAACAACATTTAGCAAATGCTAGTAATTTCTGGGGTCCTCTAGACACTTTAACTTATGGTTAAGAATCTTAGCCAAAAATGTCAATACTCCTAGGACAAATAATACCAAAATGCATAATATGAATAATATTGTTTATTTTTTAATTGCAGATTTTTTTATTGTTGTGCTGGGGGTACATTGTAGCATTTACAAAAGTTCTTACAATAAATCAAATATATGATAGTTGAATTCACCCCCTCCATCATTCTCCTTTATCCCTTCTCCCCATTCTTGAAATAGTTTAAAGAGTATTTGCACCAAATTTACCCTCTTACACCCTTTCCCCATATCACCCCCTTCCCACTGGTACCTCCCCTCCCCTCCTCCGTAGGACCTGTTCCATTCTCCAGTCCTTATTGAATAGATATGATGAGTTAATAATATAACCACTTCATTTAAACCAGTACAGTAGTTTCAAGTCCTTTTCCTTATAAGCCATGTTTTAAACTAAGAAGAAGAAGAAAGGAGGAATAATTTAAGTATTATCCTCATTTTTAATCCCCAACAATAACAAATTACGTATGAGTAAAATGCACATAGCAGAGCAGAAAAGAATGCAGATCTACATTACTAGTTGACAAATAAGTCAAATTACTAGTTATGACAAATAAGAAGAAAAACATTTTTCTTGACCAATATTCTAGCCAAAGGTGGTTCATATCATTTCACAAAGAAACTTGACATTCAATTTTTTTTATGTAGCCTAGGCTGGCCTGAAACTTGCAATCCTCCTGCCTCAGACTCCAGAACACTGCGATTATAAGTGTGCACCACCACTTCCAGTGGATCTACTTTGCCAGCAATACCAGCTCTGGAAATAAACAAATGACATTTCAAAAGTTGATAAGGGAGCAAAAAATTGGGCTGCCCAAGACCAAGTCACTGACACCTCAATAAACCCAAGGCAAACAAGAGACAACCTTGGGCTCTGAGACTATCTGAACAACAGGGTTTCCTTATTGTGCAGTCCGGAGCCAGCTGCCCTGATCTTACCTGGTTGCAGGTATTGATGTCCATGCCTCCTTTCAGGTATTCCACGACTTTGTCCAAGTTGCCTGCCCTCGCAGCACGGAGGAAACTTGCATTGCTGTCAGACTGTGAGGAAAAGAAAAGACTTTTGGTGAATAATTGATAAAAACGTATCAAAAACAGAAAGGCAAGAATGTTTACACCACAAGGCAGAAAAGCTTAGGGGGAACATTTTTCAATTCTGACTTTAAAACATTGAATACTGTTCACAGGCCAAGGAAGCAAGTTCCCACTAGTCCTACAGAGTTTTTAAGAACATTAAAACCAACGGGAAATGCACTGCGCATGTTAAAGAGTATAAAATCACATTAAGATGAAAATAATTGTTACTGCTTTATTCCAAATCTCAGCCAATTTGAAAGCTGATTTACACTGCCCCAATTACCACCATAATCCATTTGTTTAATGTCAGGATTTTGGTGACTGCATGTGTACTAAGCCTACTGTCAAGTTGAAAAATAATCAGAAGACTAAGAAGAAATTAAATCTACTCGGTTTCCTCTTTCTCTTTCTTCACTGTCAATTTTCAGATGAGTGCAGGAGAATGCTGGCACGGGTCCCTTAAGAGTCGTCAGTCCTCATTATCTGGGAATGGGATGTTTTGAAGAAAGAGGATAGTATTAGTTGGCAGGTGTAGACTGGGCTGATGCAAATTTTGTGATCCTAGTGATTTTAGAAAAGCATGATTAAATTTAAACCAGCTGACATAATACCAGACTAAAATCTCTTGGTGACAATGATTACTCTGGATGAAGACTGCTTTTTAAATTTCTTCTCTTCTGACGCTACAAAGATCTAGCTGTAGGAGAATCAGCTGTCTTCTCCCCATGAAAAGTCCTGAGGAGAAATGTTGCAGACAGAGCGACAGTCACACTGCTTCTTTGCTGTGTTAAAAGGTCTGAGTTTTAAGCCTTAGCATAATAAAGACGATGAACTTTGGTGAGGGTCCAAGACGCTTGCATAACTGTTGTGATTTTTCTTGTGATGTAATATCTGACCATGGAGTTGGATATAATTTACATATTTGGATGTGCAGTCCAGGTTCGATGGCTCTTTATGGAACATTCTTGACACCCGTGATGCCTCCTTCCTTCAAAGGCTGAGTTGATGGGGACTCTTGGCACACTCCATCAGAACTGGCTTTTTTTTTTTTAATGATTTCTGGTGATATACAGGTTTAGAAATTGGAGTATTTTCTCTGGGAGTTCCAAATATATGACTGCTTGCATACTGTTAAAATGATTACATATGGAAAGACTAAAAACCCTAAGACTAAATTACCTCACGTTGAACCTAAACACTACAATGGCCCAAAGGTTGATAAGTCAGTTCAATAATTTATTAAGAGTTGAAAGGTGTGACTGAACTCTGTACATCCTGAATTCATGCCCTGATTCTTTTTAATTATAATTAATTTTATTTAAAAATTTTAGACAGATTTGTTAAATGCATGTGACATATAATAAATCACACCCTTTTTACATGATGAGTTCAGTGAATTTTAACAAATGTGCCTAGTTATATAATTAACATCACAATCCAGATACATAACATTCTTTCAACCCAAAACTGTGTCCTTGCCCTCATGTTACTTTACAGTAAATCATCTTCATAAGCCCTAGCAACTATTGACCTGTTCTCTTTTTCATTTTCTAGAATGTTATATAAAAACGTAGAAGTATGTAGCCTGTTGTATCTGGTTTAACATAACAGGCACACAGCCCTGAGTTTATTTGGTTATTTTCCTAAATTTTATTTTATAGTTTTCACATTGACTTACATGTGTATACATTATTTGGGCTACCTCACCCCCACTCCCACCTCTGGGCAGAGCCTGTTCCACCTTCTTGTTCTCTGATCATGTTGAAGAAAAAACATAAAAGATAATAAGAAAAACACGGTGTTTTTGCTAGTTTGAGATAAGGATAGCTATACAGGGAGGTTCTTTGTGTTACTTCCATGAATATGTGTATTACAACCCAAACTGGTTCTTTAGAAATGTATCATGGTGTGATTAATATGGACCGGTCTTCCCTTCCCCACCCTCCTACGACACCTCATGCTTCATCCTTCCTGAAAACTGTGCCACGGCACAGCACCCTCAGCATATCTGCAGCACTGCAGTGGCTGGACCATGACTCATTCTAAAAAGGCTTGTGTCTATCATTTCTGTGAAATTATTTTTGCTGTTTGCAGCAAATCCTCAATACCAGGAGGATTTTCCATCTTCTGGCTTTTGCCACAGCACTTACAAGCGAAACCTAACCCTGCATTATGCTCTACCAACATTTCACAAGAAATTTTATTTTTTACTATAAAACAATAAAAATGAAATCATATTAAGTCACAGAAGTAAAACGTGAAACTATTATTCCTGTATAAACATGTTCTTTCAAAACAAATCTCTGTACTATCAATTATATTGAAAGTTCCTAGAAAGTATTTCCAATTTGTACATCAGGAAAATAATTATAGGTTATGTTTATTGAGTGTTTGCTCTGGACCAAGAATAGAGCTAACGAAGTCACATGTATTATGTCATTAACACAACACTACAAAGAAGGAACTGTCATTATGCTCATTTAATAAGTGAGGAAAGGGGTTTAGAGAGTTTCCAAGGGCACACACTTATTCAATGGAACATTCAAGATTTAATTTGCTTACCAGGCTCAAAGTTAGTCTCTGCTACTCTACCCCAACTCCTCCAAAGCATCAAAGCAGATGTTACTGCAGACTCCTAACTTATGAGCTATAGGTTTATTTCATTTGAGATAACCGTAGCTATGACCTTGATCTACATTTCTCTTTGTAAACCCTGCTACTTCTTACATGGAGTACCTCTGCTGGAGAAGGAATTCCTAGCTGTCGTCTCTACCCTCATATCTATTACCCATCTATGTACAACTAGCAAAATTAAGAGCTGACTGAGACAAAGTTCTAGAATCATACTCATTTGGGAATGAGCAAAGTGCACAAAGCATTAAAAAACCAACTCTCTCTCTCTACAAGACTAATATGCTCAAACTCAGCAAAAGATCAAGTATCTCTACTGTTCCTATAAAAAAGAGTATCATAAACAAAGAGACCCAGAAGGAGAGCCTAAAATTTTTTTTAAATAGATGCAAGTCAAATTATTACAGTTAATCCCTGGAATTTTAGCAAACAATGTTCCCAGTGTTCTGCATGGCTGGACCAAATACAAATGTAATATCTAAGCCATCCTGCCAGGGACCTCTTAAGCAGTTTGAGTCAGAGTAGACTTTGGTATATGTTAGATTCCTCTAGAACCCCATTAAGGGATTTAGTTTTCCCAAAGTGAGAAAAATGCATCAAATGGAAATATTATAACATGGTTCAAGAATGCAGATTTCCTGGACAGAATTCAAATGAGGCTCTAAAATTTATGTATAGATAAAATGGACAGTTTTGAGAGTCAGATGTATATCCCTGCATGGAAAATATATTCTTACCCCTCCACACAGACACACGCACATGCTATCCTACAATGAGGTCAATCTGTGATTAGAGCGCTTGACGAAGCTTTGAATAAACAGTAGCTAGTCTGGTTAACTTTAACCAATAAAGAGATGAAAGAGAATTTAAAGACTTGCAGAGAGCTATGCAATAATTTTTACCATTTTGTGCTTACTTCTGATTATGACAAAACTAGAGTTTTTTGACAAAAGTGTGAATAAATGTATGCTCTTAAAACAGACTGGTTTTTGGCTTTTTTTTTCCCCCTCAACCAGGAGATTTTGTACATAAAAGCACAATAAAGAAAATGAGGCAATAGCAGCTCTTTCAGGAGAAAGTCTCAGACAGCTGTGAGAGTAATCTCTCTCCCTCTGCTTTGCTGCTCAGGGTCTGTCTCTAGACCCCCAGAACCTGAAAGCACATGTTCTCATGCCTGTAAAGTTTGACTCAGGAAAAGGAAGTCAAATGCTGAGTCCCACCTATTTTAATCTGCAACAGATGGATGTCTTTAAGCTTGTCTTCTTTGTAATCCTGGTGTGACATCTCAAGCCAACAAAGAAAAATTTCTTCTTAAATTTGTCTTGACACAGTTCTGTACTTTGATTTTGTATCACAATGTTAGAAAAGCAGAACAATTTTCATAGCACCCAGCAGGGTAGACATGAAAGGAGGAGGAAAGTGCATTCATGAAGCCACATTACACCCTGGAGGAGTGTTTTCCTGACTACACCAGGGGCACACTCATAGGAGCCCATGAGCTTGTGCTAAGGTTTTTTTTCTTAATTTTATGCTTACATTTTACCTAATAAGGAAAATAAAGCATATCCCATGTTATCTAGGTGGCTATATCACTCAGTATTATATGATTTTGGTGCATGCCTTTGTTTTTATAATTCAGTTGATAACAAGAGAAGTCCAGATGACATATGAAAAGCTTTTGCTGTAGCACAGAGAGAAAAGAAAGGTCAGAAGTTCGTCAGACCTGGAAAGGATGTCGTGAACTTGATGAACAAGAGCCTGAATGGTGCTCATTGGTAGCAGGTATGCTGCAAATTAACCTGTGACTCAGAGCCTATCGGTGTGGGGACCAACTCGCACACACTGTTAACAGTGAGTGTAGTAGAATCCACAGAGAGACAATGCTCGGTGTTAGCTTTGATTGAATTTAGTTCCCCTCTCTATCACAGTACTGATTTCATCTCCAAGTAAATAAAAAGAGCTTTAGGACATTAGCAATTGGCATGCCATTAAAATCCACATCAGCAAATTTCTTTGATTGTTTTAAATTTCATTACCCTGAAGTAGGAATCAATATCTTAATGTTATTAATAATAGCTTGTACATATGTATAAAAAGGTATTCCTCATTTTAGTCAAATTCAGAAACATTAAATATGAAACTCTTTAGTTTTTATTATTAAGCCAAGTATTTTAATTTTAGACATTTTTAGCCATTCTATTAAATTGATGTCATTCATCTGTATACTATTAGTCATACTTGATTACTGGTAAAAACTTTCTTTTTAATAGTAGTATAAGAATTTTAGGAGTCTCATATAGTTTTCTGTTTTGAATATTCATACTAACACTACA